ATCCCTCCTGGATTCACCGGGATCAGCCTCAAGATGGGCTCACACCATGGGAGCACAGCTAGACTTCAGCAGGCCACCAGCTTTGGGCTTCAAGCGTTTAATAATTCTGCCTTGCAGGAGCTCCATATGTGGCTCGAACACGCCAGATGGCCCCAAATGCACAGCGTCCTGAATGCTCCGGCACCTCTCCCACCCCGCGAAGCCACTGAACAACAGGCATGGAGTAAACACCGGGCTGAATCCCCTCAGACACCAGCTAGCAATGGCAACGTCGAGTGCTCTCAGTTCAAGAGATCGGTCCTCCAGCTTGTGTGGCAAATGGATTTGTTTTATTCACTTGTGCCCACTTCCCCAGTTCATTTAAATTACTCCTCCCTGGGAAGGCTGATGGCAGGAGGCCTCGGTGACCGAGAGCCAGAGCTGTTTGTGTTTACATCATTGGTCCGAATCCAACGGAGACTGATAGGGAAAGAAAATATTAGCCATCTGCCCAACGCTTGATAGCCTTTCCAGTGATAAAGCCAAGAATGGATTAGAGGCGGGGGCTGACTGAATCTGCCTCGCTAGGGCCAGCTTTCCAGCTTGGAGAGGGGCGGCCGCGCCGAAAGGAGCCGTCGGCCTCTTGCCACCCTTAGCACCCGCTGTCAGGGAGCTCCAGCACTGCCCCTTGACGGCTTTTCTCTGCACCAACTCATTACAAATATCGAAGGAAAAATACCAAAGAGGGGGAAATGTCTGTGTATGATCCACTGCTCTTTCTCGCGATGCATCACGCTGTTTATGACCTGGCAGATGCCACGCAACGTCCAGCTTACGGAGGCGCAGTTGGAAGGTCGGCCTGGCCTGTTACCGTATTGCTGTCATGTTCCTCCTTGCCAAAACAGAGGCCTGTATTTTAATACTTCCTACTGGCAATTGCATTTTACCGCATACTAAAATCCCTCAGCTGTAAAGATAATACTTGGCGCGGTTTATAGCCTCAGAGGTGTGGGTAGTTCACACACTCAATCTGTCAGCTCCAGCCGCGGCGGCGCAGGAGGCAGGAGGCTGCTGCCTCCGTTCGCATGGCACTGCTTCCCTTTGAGGCCTCCCCTCACCGCCTGGGACCCTTCTGGGGATAACCAGATACCTGAAAATTGGCTGCCGGGGATGCAAGATCGGTGGGGCCATGTCTCACCACTTAAAACCTCTCCCCTTGGTCTGACCGAGTAAGTATAATGCCTCAGATGTGATGCAGAGGGTGGGCATGTCTGAGGACAGAGAGGTGCTCTGGAAGGTGCCTGGCTCACTGCAGAACCCAGCAGAGGGGCTGGATGAGGAGAAGATGGTGTCCCACACCTGGATGGATGGCGTGGCCCACCTCCTTGGCTTGGCTGGAGACCACACTGCTCGCCCGGGAAGCTGCAGGAGCTAGGGGAAGGGCAGCATGGCCTGTATGGGTTAGGGTTGGTCCCCTTTCTCCCTCACCATGTATCCATGCCCACGTGTGTGTGCTGGGACAAGTCCAGCTCTTTTCAACCTACAGATAAAGTGTATGGAAGGAGATGTGGAACCGACTCTTTGATGGTGCTCACAAACAAAGCAGATGGTAGTGGCTGTCGGGTGGCAATGTGTTCGTCTCTGGCCATGCTGCTGTCCCACAGCAAGCAACATCCTCTGCTTTTTTCATGCCATTCTCATGGCACGGCATTCGTGCTGCCTTGCTTCCTTTGTGTGTCCCCGAGTGAAAGGAGACAGACACACGAACGATGGACTTGCATCGTACCAGCTACCCTTTATCATGCACGGCAGCAATAAATGCATGGAGAAGTAACATGCCTCAGGACAATTTGGGCGCTGTGCAAAGGTCACTCTCTTCAGACCCTAATTGCTCGGCAAAAGTGACATTTAAATTGTATATCATTAAAATCAAAACAAATTTATTTACCCCCTCCCTTTATTGGGATCGTTTTTGCATACATTACACTTTTGATATATTGCATGTTATTGAGGTCAGAGTGCGTTTGCATCATAAAATGATGTCGTGTGGAATCACGATGACATGGGGTACCAGGCGCCGAGTATTACTCAGTTACTGCCTCCCTGAGCTTTGTAGGACGGTGTGGTGGCTGATTTAGGAAGGGCAGGTAATACTGCAAGTAAAGGGGGCAAATAATAGGGTGAACTCTTCTGCACAGTGAAAAGAAGGTGTATATAACTACATGTATGTGCGTCTGAGTCAATTCTGAACCATTTTTTCAGTGCTAGAATTGACATACAAGTGTATTTGTATATATCTGTGTATCTTCCTTGCTGGCTCAGAAGACAGCATTCAAGGCAAAATCTTCCATGCATTAAAAATAGCATTATTTTCTAGGAACTGGGTAGGCTGCTCATCTAACACGTCTAATGGGCATTTTCTCTCTTGCCTGCCATTAGACTTCAAACACTGCATTTTAGCTTCATCAGCCGTAGAGCTACCCTCACCATGACAGTAGTCATCAGAGCACCTCCATGGTGCCATTTGCTGTAATACGACTAGTTGAAGGCAGACAAGCTAAGAGCAAGTTTAAATGGCAGAATTATCTCAGGTATCCTCAGAGTTCTCTGTTTCCCTTATGTGCTTTCATTTCTCTTCTTCACCTAGTTTATACTTACCTTTCTAATGTACTTCAGGACGCTTGGAGTTGTGTACCACACAAGAGAAAAAAGGGTTTGTAGCTATAACTGTGACAGACCGATGGTCGTGCCAGAAGCTGAAGGAGATCGAGCCTGTCTTCCTAGCTGAAGATGAAACAAATCCGACCACGTGCCTCTCCACGTGCTTAGCCCCCTTCTTCTACACAGAGGCTGTGGAGGACCAAGGAATTATACGCTCTCCTAAAGCATGCGGAAAATGTTTATTTGCTGTTTTACAAGGCCTGAACCAAAGCCTACTGGCCTCTTTCCAGTCCATTGAATTTTTCTTTTTCTTTCTTTCTTTTTTTTTTTTTTTTTTTCATTATTATTAAAGCTGGGAGAATGCTTTTGGTGAATAACGAATTTGTCAAAAAAATGCAGTGTTGAAGAAGCAACTTGCAGAATTGAGTCAAATGTGGTAAACAGATTTAGCTGGGAACGAAACAGAAACGTTCATAAAAACTGAGACACTGTTTTTCTTTGGAAATTATATATTTGTTTCACATGTGATATCTTTTTAACAGCTACAAAAAGGGGTCTAGATTGGTTAGACTCTGTAGTCAAGAATCTTATTTATTTATTTATTTATTTATTTATTTCAGACTGGCCACTAAATCAGTGCACTATATATGAGTTTCTTACTGCTTTCTAACCCATCTTGTCTGTTCACATCACTTTTGCTTGCTTCTTGCCGTCTGTCTCCATAATTTTCAGTGCCCCGCCCCAGCACTTACTCAGCCGAACAGACTATAAACTACTAATCTCCAAATTTATTGCAAGCGAAAGATGCCACCTTTGGCTGGCAGCAACCCCGTACATTATGGGTTATGCAAAATAACCTATGACAGTTGTTAACAAACACTGTTGGGTTGCTGTGCTTTCATAGATTGATCTGAAAACTCACTATAGGGAAGAGTAGAGGTAAAATCTGTAACCTGTGGGAGATTTGTCAATAGGCCAAGGTAGTGGTTCCTCTTCCCCATGTACAGGGAATGGTGAAGAAACAAAATGACTATGGTATATCATCGATAACGGACCCTTCAAAGCAGTAACCCACCAATCCTTCAATGTTGCCACCCACTAAACCTCCAGCACAGTGCCCCATGCCTCTGTGGTTGGTCGGGATTCCCTCTGGTGAAAGCAACTCAGGTCAGCGAGGGCTGCATTTTCCCTGCAGCGAGCAAGACTTGGAGCTGCCTGCCTGGCTGGTTTCGACTGACTGCAGCTGGCTTCTCCTCTGGCAGCTTGCTCTCCACCAGGTTGCTGCTGGAAAGCTTGTTGGGTCTATTTGACCCACTTGTCTCCTGCCTGGTGCCCTCCTGAGCTGCCTCATTTCCTCCCTGCAAGTGTCACAGAGGCAGCCTGAAACCCATCCATTGTGCTTCCGAGGGCTTCCCACCCATTTTATCTATCATTAAAACTTAATGCAGACTTCCTTTCAGAAAAAAAATAAAATAAAATAAAATAAAATGGGACAGAGCACTCCTTTTCCTTTAACGATGCTGTCTGATTTTACCAACCATGCCCAGACACTTGGTTTCACAGCTATGAATCAGGAACTCAAATGCCCATACCAAACATGCATGGGAGTTTCCCTGGAACATTGCTCTTTCTTCCTTTCTTTCTTCTTCTTTTTTCTTTCCTGCACAGCAGGAGCGAATAGCATAATAGTGGATATTGGAAATAAACTCTTGAGCAGTGGAAGGGCCATCGTTAGCACTGACAAAAGCAGCTTTTGAGGCTGAGCCAAGATCAAATAAATGAGAACTGGTAGGAGAAGCTGTCGTGTTTATGAACAGTTTATGAATGTGAGGTTCAAGTTACCACTTTTTTTGAATCAATTAACTTTTGTGATCCTCTGTATAGATGGGCCCAAGCTGAGGGTTTCCCTTTGAGTTAAGCAGAGATACCTTTGTCCTGAGCTGTTAATTAATTCTCACTGGGTGGAGCAAGAGGCTTCTCCTAATTTAACTCCAAACTGTTTAATTGCAGTCCTCGCTGCCATTTCCCTCCCCTCTTTCAAAGCACTTCCACGCTCAGACTTCCCCGCTGAAAGCACCTGACATGCCAACCCCACCCCAGGAGGACAGGGACACACTTATCTTCTGAAAACAGGGGAGGGAAGATCTGGACTGCTCTTTTCAAAGGGAGATTTGTCACGACACACCTGCCTCCAGAGCCAAAATGCGCGCTGACCACAAGGACCCTACTTTCACCTTCATCCATGGAAGAATTTAATTAATCTTTCCATATTGGCAGCTGAACAACATTTCCTGAAGAGAAAAATAAACGTTAATTTCCAGAGGTAATTAACAGGCAGTGAATGAGACTAAAGGGCTTTCATCAAAATTACCAATCAGCTCAGATTTGAAGAGATTCTCTCCTCCTCATTGCTTCTTCATCTCATTCAGCCAGTCCTGCTGAATTAGTGCCTAATAGAGTCTCAGACATATTCATATCCTGTCAAATTCCCATCCTCCCAAGGAACTGTCCCTTTCAAATGGTAATACAGAGGGCGGATGATGTGCTCTCGTTGCTATTTTGGATTTAGCAGCTGGCTGCTTGCTCCAGCGGTAGCTGTGGAAACTTAAATACGGGATGTGCGTGTGGATACGTGTATGTGTAAACACCTACTCTTTTGCAAATTATACCCTGTATCTCAAATGGCATGCTCTTAATAGCTCCTTGCAAGCTAATTCACTTTTTATAGACCACCCCGGCTGCAGGAGGAGAAAGCACAACAGCTTAACAACAGCCAGGGGCAGCTTCTCAGCCCGGGGCTGCGTTTGGCAGCTCTTCCCTCAACTCTTGAAGTCTGCTCAGCAGATGACCATGGCCATCATCCGTCCTGGGCACTGGTGGCCCTCACCAAGATGAGTTTAGGGAAGGCTCTTTTCAGGCTATCCTCCCCTTATCCAGCTGCAGGACAGCTCTGGGGGGTTACTTGTTGCTGCACAGATGGCTCCAGCTCTTCCCAACGCAGCTCAACACACACCCAGTGGGGTGTCTTGGGGTGGCTGGTCCTGGGATGGGTCTCTATGGAGAGAAAGTGCAAGTCCTCCCATGTTAACGCAACAGAAATGGTTGCCTCCTTCTGCTTTGTTAAATATGTTGGGCCTCAGCCAATGAACCATGGGGCTTGTAGGGAGATTTCCACCACCACCTTCAGCTGGCCCTAGCCTTATCATCTGGAAATCCTGGGGGATCCCAGTAGGGACAACCAGCAAGGAGAAATTTTTATTGAAATCTTTCTGTGTTCCTTACCAGGGCCCGTCTGGAGACAGCACTAGGTGGGCACTGAGCATGACCCCTGTTAACAATATACACTACATGAAAGCTAATAATTCTGGCTAAAGCATATTCAAAATAGGATGCTTGAAGCAAAACTAATGCATTATTCACTGCTTGTTGGGAATACAAGAACACAGAGATAGACATCTGAGCCTTGGGCCTTTTCTGAGATGTACTGTACACTGGCTTAGTGTGCTTATGGCATTACAGTGACTCTCACCACTATAGATTTCTCATTTCTAATATTATTTAAAATATTGCCCTGTGATCAAATAAAAACAAAAATGTATGCGTATCCAACTTTGCTTTCAACTGTATGCAGTGATGAGAGATGTTCCTAATGTTGTATTCATTTCCTTGTTGTACATCGTGCCTTTCCTCTACCTTTAAATTAAATCAGACTAATATTTGGTGAAAGACATTGGGTGAAAAAGTGCAGAAATTGATGATTTCTTGGTGGGTAACTGAAGACAATCCTGAACAGAATTGTCAGACCAACTTCAGCACAAAACACAGACCCTGCTAGCACGATGCTTCTGAAACAAAGACTGTAAAAGGACAAAACCCACGATATTTTTACATGCTCAAGATATGTGAATAAAACTCTTTGTAGAGCACTTCAGCAGTCATTGCAACAGCAGCACTGTAGCAAACCAGATTGGGATTCACCTAATTATATGTAGACCGCCTACACTATTGATACCTGACGCTGAACTAACCACCCTCAGGCCATTTTGTGGTCGACAGAGAAACACAGACACTTGGGGGAGTGATTTATCTCTTCCTAAAGTAGATGTCTAAGAAAGGTCAAATGAATTGCATCCTAAAAGCAGCCTAATTCTCTCCACTGACCATAAAGGTTGAAAACAGTGGCTAGCTCAGATGGAAATTAATACATTGTAGACGTGAAAACCAGTGGGCTGGTGGGAAGATGGGGGATGTTAAAGTGCACCCCTATTGTCCTGTTGGCCAGCAAAAAGGTCTGCAGGATAAAGCCAGAGACCTCTTCCCCAGAGGCAGACTTCCAGGTTTTTCATCAGGTGAGATGTTTTTTTGGTGGAGGTGTTTTGCTGTACATCAGCTGAGATGGTACCGTATGCCCAGACCTGCCCCGTGGTATCCTGTGGGACAGATAGGTGAGCTTATTTTGCAGTTGCCGGCACAGAGAAGAGCCTCGCACAGTTTGGGGCACCAGCAGTTGCAGCAAACAAGCTGGACTTACAGCATTGGTTGCAGAAGCAGCTTGGCTGGATCCCAGTGAGAGTTTGACAAGGTATGTCTTGTCAAAACAAGACATAGGTATGTCTTCGGGTCCAGAGAAGGGCGACGAAGCTGGTGAGGGGCCTGGAGAACAAGTCCTACGAGGAGCAGCTGAAGGATCTGGGCTTGTTCAGCCTGGAGAAGAGGAGGCTCAGGGGGGAACTTATCGCTCTCTACAGATACCTTAAAGGAGGCTGTAGAGAGGTGGGGGTTGGCCTGTTCTCCCACGTGCCTGGTGACAGGACGAGGGGGAATGGGCTTAAGTTGCACCAAGGGAGTTTTAGGTTGGATGTTAGGAAGAACTTCTTTACTGAAAGGGTTGTTAGACACTGGAACAGGATGCCCAGGGAGGTGGTGGAGTCACCATCCCTGGAAGTCTTCAAAAGACGTTTAGATGTAGAGCTTAGGGATATGGTTTAGTGGGGACTGTTAGTGTTAGGTCAGAGGTTGGACTCGATGATCTTGAGGTCTCTTCCAACCTAGATATTCTGTGATTCTGCGAAAACGGAACGGTAGCAAATCTTTCATTGGGCAAACTCTCTTTATGATTTTAGCAGCATCTCTTGGGGGACTGACGTAGGACCCACCTTTCCCCTGCTGGAAAACAGATTGAACCGTAAAAAGTAGCTTAATTATGTGTATTACTTTTACCCCAAATTCTCGCTTGTCGTTACATTCTCTGTGGTGTATCCCTTTAAAATGCCACAGACTTACCTGTGACATCCTTGATCAGCAATTAATGCTTTCAGGATAATCAAATTACAGTATGATTCCTAATGAACACTCATACATTTAATTGAAAGGAGAAATAATTGCGAGGAGCATTACCTTAATTCGTTGGTGCTTAATTTCAATATTCTTGAGTTTATATTTTTCATTGCTTGATCCCCAAAACAATGGTTAAGAAGCCAGCACTTCAGTTTCAGATGACCTCAGAAAAAGTCAATTTGTAAGTACACAAGGAAAAGCAAAACCCTTTCAGATCCATTATCATGTGCTCTTGTTATAAAGCAATCAGAAAAATAGAGCGACGTCAGGCTGACAATCACTCTCATAGTAGGTACTACGGTCACATTACAAGCAACAAAGCTGAGCTCGGTGATTTGTTATAATGTCACTAAAACCTCTTGATATATTTAGCAAGTGGTAATGGTAAAGGTTATAATTCCTTGGAGGGGCAATAGTGATGAAATAAACCACGGGGGTCAAGTGGATTATGACCTCATGAAAACTCAAATAATGGAGATGGAGCTTTATAAACTTCCTTATAACAGATAATGCCTTACACAATCCCGAAGCTGCTCGGCGCTCAATTCAGACTTGCCACAGGCTCCCTACTGCCTATACATTATTAGAGGAAAACCGAAAATTACTCCCGTCACTACAAACCTTCCTTGCAGCCGCTCTGAATCCCCATTTCACGTATGGCCAGCACCCTTGTTGGGCAGCCTGAGCGCTGGGAGAACAGCGAAGGGGATCAGACCCCACAGGGGACCAGACCCTACAGGGATCAGTCCCCTATAGGGGATCAGACCCTAGCCCCGCCCACTCCCGCATTAGCCCCGCCCACTCCCTCTAAGCCCCGCCCACTTCATTCATAACCCCGCCCACCACCCCTTTAGCCCCGCCCACCCCCTCTAGCCCCGCCCCTTTCTCCCCGCTCGCCCCGCCCCGCCCGGCCCGCGGGGGCGCGCGTGGGGACGCGGTGCCGGCGGCCGGGCCGGGCCGGGCCGGGCCGGGCGGGGCTGGCGGAGGCGGAGGCGGAGGCGGGCGGCGGCTGCGCCCTGGCCGCGGCGGCGGCGGCAGCAGCGGGGCCGCGGGGCGCGGAGCCCGGCCGGGGGCTCCCGCAGGCTGCAGCGGCGGCCGGAGGGAGGTAGGTGCGGGGCGCTGCGGGGGTCCCGCTGCTCTCTCCCCGCGGAGCCCCCGCTTCGTGGCGGCCCCCGGGAGCTGCGGGCGGGCGGGCGGGCGGCGGCCGCGGGCCCCAGCCCCCAGCATTGTTCCCGGCGGCGCCGCCGCTTTGTGCCGGGCTGCGGGGAGCCCCGATGCCGGTGACAGCGGGGGGACAGCCCCCGGGGCCGGGCGGGGGAGCGCAGGGCTCGGCCCCCGGCTGCGCGCAGGTATGCTGCGGCCCCGCGGGCAGGCGTTGCTTTTATCGTTATCATCGTAATTATCGTCATTGTTGTAATTGTTATTCTTGCCGTTATGATTTTCCGCGGTGACCTCGCACGTCATTTACCGCCGGAGCACTGGCAGGGACGGGCTCCTGGCTAATGCGCCGCTGCTCGGAGTGTCCGGGGCGCGCCGGTGGCTCGAAATCAGCGCGATCCCTTTTTTTTTATTTTGCCCTTTTTTCCCATTTTTTTTAATTTCTCCCCTTTTCTGTGCATTTGGAAAGCCGCCGCCGCCCCGCCGGCAGCCCCGGTGGCTCCGCTGCGGGCACCGCGCCCGGCGCTGCCCCCATCCCGCACCCTCGCCCCGCTGTCCCCGCGGCCACCGGCAGCTCTTTGGTGGCTTCTCCGCCACCAGCTCCAGCAGCCGGACCCCGGCCGAGCCGCCCCAATCGCCTTCACCCCGAGATAGGGCTCTGGAGAGGGGGCGACCGCGGGGCGATGCCCCCCGTGAAACCCCCGGGGGGCTGCGGCAGGGAGAGGTGCCCGGCGCTGGTTTTGGCAGGGTGCCGGTGGGTTCCCCCCCCCCCCCCCGCCCCAGGGCACGGAGCAGGTAGCACCGGGAGCCCCCCGGCACCGCTGCCAGCGGCCGTGGAAAGTCGCAGCCCAGCGAGCAAGAGGCGAGCCTGCAGCAGCGCGAATTGCAAGGGGGGGAAAAATAAATAAAATAAATAAATAAAAAATAAAATGCACCCGCCCGTAACAAAGGCGGCTGGCTGCTCTCCTGCTCCAGGAACTCATTTTGTGCAAAAAAAATCCGGCTTCTGGTTCTGCCTCTGCCGCGGATCGGCAGCAGGGCTTACGGAAAGCTTGGAAGTTGCCCTGCCTCCGCTCCCCTCCTCTCTGCCCCCGGCCCACGGGGGCTCGCCTCACCTGGGGGGCACAGCTGGAAGCTGCCCGAGCTGGTGGCAACCAGCGTCAGCAGCCCCTGACCCCATCCTTCCCCTAACCCAGCTGTCCTGAGCTGCTGATGCCACTGCATCGCCACCCTCGTGTCCGTGGGCTGAGTGCCACCAGCTCTGCGGGACAAGGTCAGGCCGTGTCGGCTGAGGTTTGGGGCATCCCCAGCGTGCCAGGGGCCTGGCATGACTTGGCGAGGCAGGTCGTGGCGAGAGGGTGAATCCTAGCAGTGAATCCCAGAAAATGGCACCCCGGGCGGCGCTGCGCAGCCAGCTGTGTGCAAGCCGACAGCGAGCCGAGGTGGGAGGGTGCAGCTCCCTTGGCGTAACAACGGGATGCTTATTTTAGCATGGACGACGGCCAAAGATAAGGAGGGGTTGTCAGCCGGCTGCTCGGAGGACTTGCAACAAAAAAAAAAATAAGGCTTTGTAGAAATAGAAATGTTTTCACGTTGGTAGTTTTAAAAAGAAAAAGAAACGCAACAAAAAACAGATAACCTTGCGAGTGATGGGCTCGCCACATCAAGCTGGCAGTACAAGATTTCTCCCATAAAAACCAGGATGATCCTAATTAAGCCCAGACCCCGTGAAGTGACACAGGGCTTTATTTATTTCAGATGTTTCTAGGTCCTAGAGATGGGGCCAAATGTGACGAGTTCGATGTGGCAGAGAGTTTAACCCCAATTACTTCTACATAAATCACGTGATGGTTGCGGTAGCCGAGTACACGTGAGGGGTGCCCCAGAGCTACCGACTCCAAAAAGGTATATGCCTGCCTAAAAATTGCCATTTAAAAACCTTTACTGAGTAAAGCACCACCACCTTCGCTACACCTGAGCCTACCCGTGTGCTGTGGCAGCCCTGCGTGGTCTTTGAGAGCCTCCGAGGCTGGCGGGCGGGCTGGATCTCCACGGGCAGGAGGAGGATGCGTGTGCCCGCAGGCAGCTGAAATGGTGGCTTTGCAGAGCCGGCAGCCGGGGAAAGGGAAGCAAAATGGGAGCTGACAAACGTTCTCCTTGCAGAACTGGGGTGGATAAATGATTTATGGGAGTGCCTGCTTTTTTTATTTTGAGCGGAAGGAGCCGGGTGAGGATGCGTGGTGCCAGCCGCGAATTGCTTTGTTTTGAGGTCGGGCTGTGCTGGGTCACGCCTCCAGAAACGGCATCTACAGAGGGACAGCACAGTAAATATTTTGTAGCTTTGCTCAGATTCCACGTGCTGTCTCTTGTTTTTGCTTTGTTCAAAGCCCTTCTTCTTAATTGTCCCAGAAGACTCCAGATTTCCAGAAGGAGGCAGCTTTCTGAGAAGTCCTAAGCTAAAAAGAAGCATCGCTAACCTTTCCCAGGTCTCAGGAATTCCCATTCCTGACTTTTTTCCAGTGTTGCCCATCCTTCCCAGGGCACTAAACAACTCAGTAACTTGGCTGCCTTGCAGAGGAGCTGCTTTGTCAAGTGATGTAGTGCTGCCCATTAGTTGTGGCTTTCTCTTTTTTTTCAGGCAGATCTATCCAGGCTGCCCTGTAATGTACAGCAGCCACGTAGTGGTGCTGTAATGTGGGCAGAGTGAGTTTATGGGATTACATCCGTGGGATTTTGCATGGGATTTTTAGGAAGAGCAAGGTGGGAGCAGTGGAAGGCAGACCAGTGCATGGATGGGTGGCTTGGGGATGCTCTGCTGCTCCATGTTCAAGGGCTGGCATTGAGTGCAAGCAGCTGGAGCCTGCTATTTCTGCTATGTTTTCGTTGGGTAGTTAATAGGGTACATAGATATTTGAAAATGCTTCTCTGAGGCTTTGGATTTGCGGCTGAGTGCTCTCAAGAGGCAGCCCAAGAGCCTGGGACAGGCCTCTCGTCCTTTTCACCCTCCAAAGAACAGTGTCTGTTGGCTTTGAGGAGGAGATTGTGGGGTTTTGCTCCCAGCTCTCTCACAGCAAGCTCAAAGATCTCAAACAAGTCCTCCCAGGACTGACCATGTCCATGGTCTTTGAGCTGTTACTTGGGGGTGAACCCTGATGGACCCAAGAGGAGAAGGAAGTTCACCTCTCCACCTCCTGAACCTCGGTGGGGCTGCTGAGGGCAGGCACCCCCTGGACATCCCCACTCAGGTAGTGCAGGCTGGCTTTGGAGAGCACTCTCCCCTCCAGCACCTGTGTTTGCTTCAACCTTTTCATTATGTTTCTGCCTTTATTGTGACATGGAAACAAAGAGGCCGGAGAAACACGGTGGCTACCAGGAGGGCCAGGAGAACAATGGCTCTCACGTGCTCTGGCAGCCTGTTCCCCACAGCAAAGCCAGGTTGTTTGGAGGAGTGCAGGTCTTGCATTCCAGCGAAAAATAATTCATTAACGGCCAGAGCATAATCGCTTCGCTCCAGAAAGGCGCTCCAGCTGCATTGCACCAACTGTTCTTTTTCAGCCTCTGAATCCTTAATGACAGTAGTAGCTAATTTCTCTTTTCTGTGTTTTTCTAACTGCCGCGTCCTATTTTCTCCGAGTTTATTGAGAAAATAATAGAAGTCATTACAGAGCTACTTGTCACCTTTCAGAGAAGAAAACTTCTCCCTGGTTGAATGGCCAAGTTAGTTATTTTAGTTATTTGGTGACTGACTGGAACAATAGCAACTTTTTGTAGCTCATCAGTTATTCATCTATGCTTAGTGAGTAAACTAATTAGCTAGAGGAGCGTTACCTAACTTACAGTCCGTGAATATCAGAAGATGCTGAATAAAACAGTTGCAAACAGGATAACAATTGCACATGTGAATGCTGTTGCACACCAGCAAAAAAAGACAGAACACGGGGTCAGGAGTGGCAAAGTGAGAAATGTGTATTCATTATATATATATATATATATATATGTTTAATGTTTGATCATGTTTGAAAGCTTAGGTGACAATACTGCATGAAATGGCCTTTGTTTTATTTTTTAAAAAATAAGGTTGTCCTTAGGTTGAAGGAAAGATACCGAAGAGTGTTGAACTGACTAGTGCAAAAGGTCAGTGAGAACAGAAATGTGGAAAGCTAAGTAAAATGTATTTTTGTGTATGCATGATGCACATCTTTCTGGTGGCCGGTGATGGATCACTTGCGGCAGAGCTGGATTCGCACAAGGCCATTGCAAAGCAAACAGGAAGGGCAACGCGTTGTTTTTTTTAATCGGGCTTTTCCTAACCAAGCAGTCAGGCATCAGCAGCAGAATAATAGATGTCCTCATCTCTGGCTTCGGTGGTGGGGCTGGAAATGGGAAGGCAGCTCTGTCCTGAAGTGGGGTGGGAAGGGGACTGCTGCCCTGAGCTGCGTCAGGCCTCACCTGGGCTGGGCCTTGCTCTCTGGGCTGAGGGACGCTGAGGGAATGACAGAAGTCAGTAAGAACAAAACAAAACACACATTATTGGGTTTGGGTTTTGTTGTTTTAAATCTTGTGCAATTTGCAGGGAAGAATAAG